ATGCCCATAATGGGGGAAATATTGGGAAACTAAACACTTCTTCATTAGCTCTCTCCTTTTATAGGATTTAATAAACCATCATTACATAATAATCCTAACTTTATTTTGGGATTAACTAACATTTGAAATCTAAAAATTTCAATAATCTCGGAGTAATAGGCAATGTGAACATCTTCAAGGCTTTCTCACGGTAAAAATTTAAAGGACTCTTTATTAAAATGAAATAGGTTCATTTAAAGTGTCTTCAAATCTCAATAATGCAAAAGAAAAGAATTATCAATAAATATGTATATGTTCAATAAATATCAAATTTTATTATCTATAATATGATTATATATATATATATATATATATATATATATATATATATATATATATATATATAAATAACTGATTGAAAAATCCTAATCAACAATACCAACATCATCTGCAAATGCAATTGCAAAACACGCTTACAAATTCTTGAAATCATCACAATTAAAAGCAAAAACCTAACCTAAATCCAATAAAATTTAATACTGGCAGAAACATCTTAAACATATTTAATAACTAATCCTCCAAATATTAAATACGAACACCCTCCCAAATGCTAATCAACTAATCCAACAACACTGCTTGAATACCCCAAAATACTATATATAAAAAAGAAATGAAAAGAAACATACTTCAAATGAAAATATACAGCTATGATAACGGTTGACGATAACCGAAAGCTCTGGCCCCAAAAAACAAGAACTGGGTTTATTTTCAACAACTTAGACCCAAATATAATGAAACTTGCGAGAAAGCAAGAAAAATAAAAAAGAATGATTATTAAACGGAAAAGTTCCGTAGTCATTAATAACACATGCCTCAATATATATATATATATATATATATATATATATATATATATATATATATATATATATAATATATCGAAAAAAATAAAAATTTAATAATACAAGACATATTAAAACAATATTAAATAATAAAAAAAACAAACAACGGGGTGGGGGGGAAGCAATCGGTTTCGCTCCCGCTCTTCAGGCTTCCACGGGAGATTCAATATTAAAACAGAAAAATGTACAATAAGAATAGGTGGAAAAAAAAAATATATATACATATATTTGTATATATGCAAGAAGGAACTAGAGGCAGATGACAGCGAGTCCCAGCAAACACTCACGTTGTTTGTACAAAGAAGGCTTGCGGGACCCGATGTAAAGCGCCTCCAGAACCTTAAGATGAAATACAGAGTGTGACCAGGCCAACACGGTGAACCAGTCAACACTAAATTTGGCTGCACAATCTCTTCTATTTAAAAGATGTTCGCATATGGCGGAACCGTAGGTGTTCGGGACGAGTCCATTTAAAAGCAAGGTGTGGTTTCTAATTTTAGTAGGAAAGTGCTGCTTTATTCTAATGTCTAAGCGCTGAGTTGTTCTCCCTATGTAGTTGGCTCCGCAACTACAAACGTATTTGTAAACAATTGAATTAATATGGTGGGGAGGGAGAACGTTATAAGATATATATATATATATATATATCTTATAACACTTTAATGTTTATAAATTATTTTTTTCATTTTATAAAATATCTTAAAATAATTGTCGGGCTTTCACATCATAAGACACCGGAAGTGTTGAAACAAAATTGTTATTTTTGTAGTGATCGTTATAGTTTTCGAATAAATAATTGTATTTGCTCTACTCTGTATTGAGCACTCTTTTAAGAATAGTATTTGTTGGTTATTGGAATTTATTCTGTATACACCAATCCCATATCCCATATATATATATATATATATATATATATATATATATATATATATATATATATATATATTGTTTTTACATTATTTATTATTAACTGACTGGTGATTAACGTGTGCTATTTACTCAACACTGTGAGTTGTGTTATAAATTATTATATTAGTTGATGTTGCACATTTCATTCTAGGGCCGACCACAATTTGAAATCTGCTACCCCATCGACACCTGGAGTAAGAGGTGTTGTGAAATTGTGATATGTGTAACTTTTTTCTTCTTTGGGAATTGAGTAATTTTCAAGAAATATTCTTATGATTTCTATTAACATATGTCGAGAGTTTGTAGAACATTTCCCTTGAGTTATTATGATAAATAGAGCAATTATCATTGATTTTGCTTTCATTAACTATCGAACCTGAGTCGCATAAAGCAACCGAGCTACTTTCGTCTCTGTCTGTTATTTCTCTTGGGTTTTTATAGTAAATTGAGGAAAATTATCATTTTTATTAAATATGATTAAATTTTTCTTATTTCTCTATCTATAGATCTGTATATCCTTGAGTCGCAATGACATTAGTGATAATTTACGCACGTTATATTAGCACTAATCCTTTTTATATTAATCCTATACCATTGTTGATAATCTTGAACATGAATCAATATAACTTGTGACTCAAACGATCGGCGATATGATAACACACTGGAAGTTT